TTATAAAAACAATTGAAACTAAAATTGCTCTTCATTCAAAATTTTCAAAAAATAAATAGAAGATACATTAAAAGAATTGAAAGTCGACTTGAACTCGTTCAACTTCAAAAAATCATTACGCGTATATTTTCATAAATATCAGACTTTATTTATATGTTCTTAATATGCTTCTAAAATTTTAATTAATTTGGTACGTTAGAATTGCCACGAGTCCATTACATAAACGCATTGTTTTTAATGCAAAATCCAAGCGTACACGGAAAAAAATGTGACTAGAAAATTTTACTACAATGTTGTAGTAGTAGACTTGTAGAAAAATACTTAACAATTTGTAGAAAATTTTTCTACAATTTATAGTTAAAAACTATTCATTATTGTAGCAATTGAATTGTCGAATAAAATGCTACAACATTAGGAAAGAATTCCACAATGTTTAGTATATTTTACTATTGTTTGTAGAAATAGAAATTTATTGCAATTATCGTAATTACTACTACTAACTTCTGAAAAAAATTGTACAAATATTAATAATTATCTCTACAAGAAATAGTAATTTTCTCTACAAAAAATAGTAATAATTTGCATCCCTTCTTATGAAAAATATTCAATTTTGTTCAAAAATATTCTATAATATTGTAGAAATTCTAAGTCATGTGAACAAAACAGAATTCTGCTATTGGCCAACGTTTTCTGACGTCGATCATAAATGGCCAGACAGCAGTACCCGTTCGTCATGTTCACATAACAAAGCATGGTACATATACGAGTACCTATAACACATTATTATATTATAAGCACCGATGCGTTTGAGAAAATTTTAATAATAAATTCTATTGGTGGTAAGTACATTTATTATTGTTTCTGAATAATTTACCTTTAGATAACTAATTTAAATAACCTTAGTAGATTATTTTAAAAAAAATAGTTGTGGCCAACGATCGAATGTTGTGCCCAACGATCGAATTTTGTGCCAAATTCAATGATGTTTTTTTGTCTAATTGTGACATACCTACTTTCTCATTTTTGTTAGTTTTCTGACTTAATCATTTAATATCCAAATCAGTGTAAAGGTGATAAATACCCTCGTTTTAAGGGTATGAACAGTTCAATTGTTATTAATTTTTTTATTTCATATTTTTCAGGTGCAGAAAAGCCAACTGAGACTGAGGGTGCTATTATTACTGTTATTTATTACATAATGTAATTAAGACTTTGTATCTTTTATATTAAAACAATAAATTGAATATTTTATTAAGGAACATTTTTTCTAGGTTATAATTATAATAATAATGGAATACTACTACAAGTTTTATTAAAAATTACTACAATTTGTATGAATTTTTACTATTTATGGTGTAAAATTTTCGTATTTATTTTCATAAAACGCAATACATTTTTAATATAAATTCATACAATGAATAGCAAAAATTATAACAATTTGTAGAACAATTCTTATGATGCATTTGGATATTTTTACTAAATATTGTAGACAATAACTCTACAATACATTCTCCACAAATATTTGGAAATTTTTACTACAAATTATCCCTGTCCCTATATGTACTACTTATTGTAGAGAAAAAATCTATAATTGTAGAAATTTGTTCTACAATTTTTTTTCCGTGTATATTCTTCTATCCTTTGCATACTTTTTTTGTCATGGAGACGCGGCGGCCAGCAACAGGAAGTGATCCTGGGGATTGGGCGCCATGAGTGCACGTGTTTTTGTGTGTCTATAATCTTTTTTGTAGCTCAAAGAATTTTTGAACTTTAAATTACTTTAAATTTGGTATAAAATTCCTCTGAAAATGGCCAAAATTTTAAAAAATAAAAAGGAAACAAAATCACTTTGATCTTTATATAATTTTGATAGAGGGAGTTTTCTGGATCGTTAAATTTATAAAATTAAAAATACATTGTGTCTCGAAAGGAAAGGGACACGGAACAGCAACAGATTATTTAAATCAAACTATGAAAATGTAGCTAAATTTATCTATTTAGACTAAATTTCAAGTCAGATACAGGGTGCTTAAAAAAATTATTTGGATTTTTTTTTAATTATTATGGAAAAAATCGTATTTTTTATTGTTTTTACATTTAAGTACCAGTTCGATTGACTATCAGTAAAAAAACTGTATCTTTACCCTATATGTCGCTTAATACAAGCTTAATACCTACTTACGGATAGGCAAGTGTGGCTAAATCGTGATATTTTTACATTAAAAAGTTACTAATCTGCTGATTCTTCATTCTTATGGATCTTATGTAAATATTTTTTGAGTTTTTTGAAATTAAGTATAATGCGATTTACCCTGAAGAAGATTTCACTAACAATCTAAGTAGTGGAACTCATTGTGATAAACTTAACAAAATAATTCTTAAAATACTAAGGGCCAATTTCATAATCAAATTAAAGGAAACCTTAATCTTTAAATGTTATGTCGATTTCATAAATTAAATTTATTGAAAAAGTACACTTTAAAGCTTTGTTTAACTAAATACCCTATTTTTTATGGCATCGCGCCAGTTGTTTGGTTTAATTTGATGAGAGTACACAAACAAATAATATAACTTTATTTTGAAATTGTTGAATTTTGATTTTTACTGTTCAACAGTTGTCGTCACTTGATTTATAGCATTGAAACGTGAAGTCAGTAATTTCCAAGCTCTATTTTGAAAAACATTTTCATATTTATTATTACAAAAATAGTATTCTAGCTATACCAACCTTTTTAACGTTGTTTATTTTATCTGTTGTAAAATACGGGGTGTCCCAATGAAAAGTAGCCCGTTTCCATTTGATCAAATTTGGTTACGGTGAATTTAAAAGAGGATACTTTTAAAAAACACCCTGTATAGGTAACACATAATTTCTGTGTCACTGAAGCAAAACATAGCCAAATAACACCGCACGATTTTTTTAAAAGTTATAAGCTCTGGAAATGGGCTACTTTTCATTGGGACATCCTATAATATAAAATATACTGAAACAATGTTGCTTTTAAATAACTGATTTAAACTTTTATTTTTTCCAGAGAAACCCTTTTTTACGATAGTAAACATTGACATATTCTATAATTTCGGAAATCCCAAACTAAAATTTAAAATTCATTAAAAACAATCATTTGTAATTACATATAGGTACTCTGAGGTTCGTACTTTCAATAAAAGGGTTCTTACAAGTGTTAATAGGATTACCCATAGCATTACTCTGCTTCCTGTGTCCTACATTGCAGATATTAATTCCTAGTATAATTAAATTTCAAAACGTTCAATTTCTTTTTCACCTACTTTGGAAAGAGCTTACATGATATCTATCATTTTACAAAACACCCAAAATACCCTATGATAGGCGGCCCTAATAGACCAATTAATTACAGAATTTGACGTTCTTGAGAGTAACCAGCTTATCAACTGTCATCGGTCCCAACCAATATTCGAATAGACCAGTTAATTGCAGAACATCAACAAGCGACGTTTATGTAAATAACAAATTTGTCAACTTTTAATCTATTTAACAAAAATATATCTTCACGTCGGTTTCACTGCGTTACATGTTACCAAATAAAAATGAAAATTAAAAATGTACCTTCTAGAAAAAAAGTGAGAATGCCCTTAAAGGGTTGCTATTAAAGATGCGTCGTAAAGCGATTATAGAGCTAAGAGAGTTTTAAGAATTTAAGGAATAAGCAAATATTATTGCTTGGTATCGGACGTACAGCGTGACTGAAAAAAAAGGTTCTGACGGGAGCTTGTACATACTACTAGATGTGGGTGTAAGGGTAGCAGCTCCTAGTCTTCTGGCTAGCTTTGAAGCGTCTGTAAAAATTTCTTTTGGATGTTCTCATCTGAGAACCTTAGGTATTCCCTATATCTGCCCATGGTATGTCAGCATGAGTTTTTTCTCTATTCCTCTTAGCACTGGCTATTTAGCCCTTTGTTCTTTACCATTTTTTACATTTTAACTTAAAAACTTTTACTGATCATCACTACATATTATCATTAATTTTTTACACTCTGATTTTCTCGTTAAAATTCTATTTGTTATATCGGTGTCGAATGTCGACATTATACTGTAGATGCAATTGTAATTTATTAACATCTATATTATATATGAAGTAAATTTAGTTTATATAATTGTTTTCTATAGCAAAATCATTTTGCAATGTAAAAATGAGGATTGCCTACTATGCCGAAACTAGTCGCTTCAGATTTTAATTATATTAAATTATATGTATTACAGATTTTGTGTATTTGTTATTATTCTATTGACTGCTTTAAATGTGAACAGATTATCTATATTTAGTCTACGCAATGTATTTCTTAAAAATTATAATTGTTCGAAATAATATAGTCCGGGATCCCAGGCCCATTTTCACCCATGATTACTAATAAGCAGATTTTTTGTCAGTAGCTTCATTTTAACGAGACGCCCTACTTTTTTTCTTACTACAATTTTAGTGAACGGTAGCTAACAGGGGTAGCGGGGGTGAAATATGTTGATTTGAGGAATTTCAAAAATTTATTACTAACCGAATTTTTCTTTGTTAATTCCCAAGATAATTATCTAAATAAACCGAGGAAATATTTGTCCTACAAAATTTAAGGTTTTATGTTTAGGTTTTATGTATAATTAACAACCAGCTGTTTTTTTTTCTATTGGTTAGTAAAAATTAATATATTTGAACACCCACACTGTCCTACAAATTACGTGGTACGACATCCTGGTCCTACGATCAAAAGCTGCCAATGCCACAAAACATTTTTTTTATCAGTAAATGTAGGAGCAAAGTATTATGTGATAGATTAGTATGTTTTTCGTCCAAATAAAACAATGAACTACTAAAAAACAGGTATGTATTGCTAGTCCTACAAAAATTATCATTTTCGTTTCCCTATTTGTAACAAAGCATAAAGTGACAACATATTTCTTGAAATTAAAATAACTTTATTTTCCAATGTTTATAAAAATATCTGGTTTTTTTTATAAACAAAAAACATTAATATTCATCAGATTCATCGGATAAATCTTCATCATCTTCGTCAACAGCATCAGTCTTATCTTCATCTCCCTCTTCTTCACTTTGTTCGTTAGTGACGTCTGATTCTGTAATAACATAAAACAATAAATCGCCGAATAATTAATAAATAAAGAACAATAATATTTATAGGGTACCTTGTAAGTAAGAAGATAATTCTTCGTAAGATGGGCTTTGGGGACCATCAAACCAATAATATTGATATTTATTATCCATTATTGTCAATCCATAATTTTCTGGCAATTTTTCGGTGGGACATCGCATATGTGCATTACACCATACATTGGAGATGAATACTGTCCTTATAATTTGTTGCAGCAATTCTTGTTTTGTTGGTGGTAAACTGGAAGGATCATATCTTACGATTGTTTTTAATCTTCAAACCAATAATATTGATATTTATTATCAATTATTGTCCATCCATAATTTTCTGGAAATTGTTTGGTGGGAAACAGCATATGTGCATTACACCATACATTGAAGATGAATACTGTCCTTTTAGTTTGTTGCAGCAATTCTTGTTTTGTTGAAAGGATCATATCCTACTTCTTCATTATCATTTTATTATCATTATATTTTAAGGCGAAGTCTTGTGCTTCTTGTTCAAATTATATTTCTTCGATTGTTTCGTCATCGATTGTTTCAATATCTATTTCAGAAGATAAAACAAATAGTTTATTGGAAATTTTGACTAGTGAATTTTTTTTTGTTAATTTAATTTTGTTTAAATTCCTTTATAGCATGATTACTGAATGTGGTAGCTTCTAAATTTGCGTTTTCATATAATTCCATTACAAACTCAGCATAGCAATCTTTTAAGTGAGAAAATGATAACAATCGTCGATTTCCAATAATTTCTTGTTGAATGTAATAATTTATTAATCGTTCTCTGGAAATTTTATGGCTATCTCGTTTCATAGCCCAATCATTAGTTGGAGGTGGGTTTATTTTCCTTTGGTATTTGGCAAAATAATTCACACTACAGTTATTATACGCTAAAAAAGTATCGTCAACAGAGTCATTCTCGTTTTGAATTTTCTGTAACATCGGTATATCATTTAATTCTGTTGCATACATTTAAATTTTTTCCAGAAACGGTATTTTGTTTTTAATTTTACGACAGTATATTTGCCGGTTTTTGCGTTTTATATTCATTTTGCCACAAAAAAATCATTTCTTTGCTGAGTCATCATCTCCAAAACTTTCGATATTGAATTCATCATCTACATCGCTCTCTTCAACAGTATTTAGCAAAGCTGAAATGTTGCTGCTTTCATCATGAATTGATTTTGAACTCTGGTCAACATTTCTATAAATGATAACACGTAAAACAATTATTTAATTAAAAAAGTAATTTATTATTTTACTATGCGATATAAAATATATTGCATGGCAATGGTTAATTATATTTATAGGTATTCTCGAGTACAATCGAGCATTTCCGAACATAACCGAAGTATCTGACTATTATTGGAGCAAACTGGAACACGTGGAAAATTTTACTATTGAATTTAATATATTTATATTACGATCCAAATTTTTGAGGAAAATATAATATACTTTGTATAATTATTATTTTAAAAATATAACAAAACTTTCATAATAGTGTTACTCCATTTTTTTACTTGAAAATATAAACTTATAAAATTATTTTTTATTAATTTTAAGAATAAAGTGAAAACATATTCGATATGCACTTACCTTTCATAAGACAAATATTTAGATTTCACTATAAATTCCTTGTAACAAGACGAATGATGACCTATCACTTCGTCATTCCACCTTTCAGGTAGTAGAGCATCACAATATTTGTGTTGATGATGCTTTCGAGCAGATAAATAAGTTTTACAAGAAAGCCAAATATCTCTATTAAATTTTATTTCTTCTCTTTTTTCTCGAAAAGTAGGATTTTCACATAACAAATTATACATGTTGGAGAGGGGGGACTCTTTAATAAAACTTTAAATTTTGTAGGACAAATATTTTTTCGGTTTATTTAAATAATTATCTTAAAAATTAACAAAGAAAAATCCAGTTAGTAATAAATTTTTGAGAATCGTCAAATCAACATATTTCACCCCTGCTACCCTAGTTATAAATCACAATCGAGAATTTTCGTAGAGGGAATTGTTGGGCGTCTCACTGAAACGAAGCTATTCACGAAGATTCAGCTTGATAGTAATTATTTGTTCATCAAGTATTAGTACTACAACTTTTGAGCGTAGGACCAGGATGTGGTACCACGCATTTTGTAGGACAATGTAGGTGTTAAATTATATTAATATTATCTAACCAATAGAAAAAAAAAATCAGCTGGTTAGTAATTATTTTTCATGACCTTGTTAATTATACATGTTGGAGTGAGGGGGACTCTTTAATAAAACCTTAAATTTTGTAAGACAAATATTTCCTCGGTTTATTTAGATAATTATCTTGGAAATTAACAAAGAAAAATTCAGTTAGTAATAAATTTTTGAAATTCGTCAAATCAGCAGATTTTACCCCCACTACCCCTGTTAGCTACCGTTTACCAAAATTGTTGTAAGGAAAAAAGTTGGGCGTCTCGTCAAAATGAAGATACTCACAAAAATCTGCTTGTTAGCAATCATGGGTGAAAATGGGTATGGGATCCCGGACTAATATTGGGACGTAACGTATAATGTAAGTCATGACAAATGGTTTATAATTCTTAAATTACTCTATCAGTGGGTGAATCATATACGTAGTAATACACTCGAAGTGTTAATAAAAATAAAGTGTTTCTAGAAAGTAAATAAGTGTTTTAATATAAAAGTGTGCATTAGAAAATAAGAAAAAGAAGCGTAATGGTAAACTACACGGTGCGAGGTGGTTGCAATATACGACAATACCTATAATGGGCGTTTGCCGTCAGTTCGAGCTCAAACTCCAATTCCAGTGCTAGTACAACATCAAATATTGATGATAATTAGGGAAGAAGAAAACCTAAGCAAACAAAAAGATCCAAAAACCGAAGATAAAAAAAAAATTAAGTCAAATCTCTTATGTAATATTTTGATATGAAAATTTCTATTTACAAAATAGCAATATTGTGATGGGGTATAAAATTTTTTAGAATGTATATAATAAGTAGTGGGGAGGGATCTTTTTGCTTTCTAAAAATAATTTTTGATTAGTAATGATGATTGATTTTCAGGGTAATAAAAATATTTTTGGGTCATAAAAGTTGGTTAGATATAATTTAAAATGGTTAGAATTTATTAGAAGAAAAATAAAGAAGACATTTTAAAAAGAATTTTATTTTAAATAAAAATAGCGGAGGAAAACCAGCTAGGCGAGATAGCACAAAAGGTAGAGAAACGGACACAGGTAGAGATAGTCAGAGACAGACAAAGACAGGGCAAGGCAGACAAGCAGCAGCAGGACAAAAGCGACAGCAGCAGCAGGATAAACGCAGCAGCAAGACAAAAGCAGTAACGACAGGACAAAAGCAGTAGCGGCAGGACAAAAGCAGCGGCAGTTCAAAAGCAGCAGTTTAAAAGCAGCAGCAGGGCCAAAGCAGCAGCAGTATAAAAGCCGCAGCAAAAGAAGAATAAGAATAAAGAAGAAAACAAGAAATATTTTTTTTATTTTATGACTAATTTTTATAAAATATTTTAGAACCGTTGAACCCATGACAATATTTAGATTTTTGTTAGTTGGAACCGGAGATTGCAAAATAAAGTATCCATATCAAGTGGCGCCCAACGTGTAGACCATATCTAGTGGTGCCCATTGTCAGGTCTTTCAAATTAAGGGAAAAATTTAAATTTGGAATTCAAATGTTTTAAGAATTTTATATTTTTATTTGTTTTGAACTGTTGTTTTGAGGTATTGAGTTAGGAAGTGTTATATTTGGGCAGTAGCGTGATAACAGTGTGTGCCTGTTATTTAAGTATTCAGAGTTAAATTTTAGAATTGAGTTTGGAATATTAATATACACCAGTATAAATAATAGAACATAGATATATGATGTTTTCTTATTTTGATATGAATTTGTAAACACAGTAAATGGATTTAGGAGGGGAAAAGATAGTTAGGTTTCCTAGACAACTTGCGGAAATCATAGGACCAGGAGATAGGGATGTATAAGATGAGAACGCGATAAAATACACATTTATAGAAGAAAATCAACAGAAAGAAGAAAAAAAGATGGAGGACTTAATGCAGGTGCTCATTGGAATGAATGGAAAAATAATGAGACAAATAAATGATAGTATTAGACCGATGAAAGAGAAAATGAATGATAATATCTGACAAATGAAAATGATAATAGGGAAACTGAATAAACAAAAAGAAGAAACAATGAGTAATAAGATGGACAACATACAAGAAATTTAAAAAGTTAGACAGGGTAATAAACGTTTAATTAGAAAAATAGAAGAAATTATGGCTAATAGCATTGAAGAAGTTGGAAGTGAAAAGTTGAAAGAAGGAATACAAAATAATAAAAACGAAATACAAAAAATAGTAGTATAAATTGAAGAAACAGAAGCAAATAAAGTAAGACTAAGTCAAAATATAATAAAAGATATGAACAAGAATAAAAATAATAATAGAAAAATTAAAATTATAGATTTAAAGAAGAAAGTGAAAAAGAAAATAAAGAAAAATAGAAAATAAATTAGAGAGAAAGTAAAAAACGAAACACATGGAATTAGAGAGAAAGTAAAAATAAAACACATGGAATTATAAATAAGAAACATAAAGGTATTATAAGTAAACGTAAAAGTAGAAAAACAGATACAAGTAAAAGAAGTAGAATAGTAAATAAATATAAAATTAAAACTAAGATATAAGGAGTATGAATGGGACAATAAAACAGTAAAGAATTAAAAAATCGGGGGTTGACAGAAAAGGAGATAGTGAGTACAAAGGTGAAAAAAAAGTATTCAAATTTAGATAGAGAAATGTAAATTTAAAATTAGCTAGAGATCATGGAAGTCAAATAGATACATTTAGTAGAATAATATATATAGACAAAAGATTAAAACAGACTGAATGCAAGAGAAATTTGAAAAGGATACCTGCTACACTACAGACAAAAGAGTAGAAAATAGAGTAATATGAGTTAAATGAGGTAATTAAAGAATTTGTGTATATAAGAAGAAAGATATACAAAAGAAATATTGGTATAAAAGTAAAAGATAAAGTTTATAAATAGTTAATGGTTTCAGATGAAGGCAAATATGTAATTTGTGTTAGTAAATAAGAATTGAAATGCGGTATATGAAATAATAGGGAAAATTTGGTTTAACAATTAGATATATTGTTAACAATGATAAAGAAAAATAGTAGAAGATATTTAAAATGTAAAATGTATGATAAATAATGAGAAAATTAAGTTGAAAAATGTATGAAGTGGCAAGAGGAATTTTGTTCTGTTACCGAACAGTACTGTTTAAAAAACGTTTTGTATAAAACTGTTTAAAGTTGTAATATTCATTTGTTTGTGAACAAAAAAAAAATAATGTAATATTTTGACATAGTTCTTTAGAGAGTTTTTCAGACACAGTTTTTTGAGTATTTAATAGATTTTATTTTATATAAGAAAGGCAAGAACCAACCATTAAAAAATAATTGAAAGTTCAAGACAGAGATTTCCAGTTTCTTTTGTTATGTAAACCACTTTCAAAATTTTGCTGGATCCGGTGGATCCCCTGTAGCTACATCACTACCAATTTCTGAATCTCGAAAAAAAAGTAAAGATTAGATCTATCTATGGAAACTTGCGTTGTGGCTAAGTTTTAACGACGAATTAACAGTTTTCGAAAAAAAAAAAAAAAAAAAAAAAAAAAGGTTAGGAATGATTGCTTGATAGGGTTAATTATTTGATAATAAAGTCGACTAAACAAATTTTCAATTAAATTTTAATTGATTGTGCTGTGAGTGAATTTTAAAAAAGCAAAGTTGGCTAAACGAGAAAGTGACTCTAACCAATTTTACTTTTTGAAATCTACAATAACTCACAGCACAAGAACCAATCAATTCTCACAAATTTTATTTAGAAAACGTCCCATTCGCTGTGGTAAAAAGAAATATAGTACCTATATTTCCTTGTGTTGTAAGTATTTACTTAAATTTAAATATATAAATTATTACACAATTAATTATTATTGTTAAAACCGTCGTAATATAATTAAAATTAAACACTTATAACGTAATGTAATTTCTATAATGATAATTACAAAAAAAAAATATAATTTTAAAGAGAGGGATGTTTTTGATGGATTGACATCAAATTATGAATATTTGGCTTGAGTTTTGTAAGGAATAACCGTAAATCTCTTCTTTCTGTGATATTCAATCTGCTCCTTTTTTTTGGTAATAAATTTGTAACGGCACTTAAACTTTTTTCGACGAGATATGACGAGGGAAACGCTATCAGAAGCTTTTGCACAATTCCCCACAGTTCAGAATATTTTTCAGGTATTTCTGCCTGCAGCCAAAATTTTTGATACCCTCTGTTAAATGTTACTTTCAGCTCCTCATTAGTGCTAAGCTCGAGTACCTCCTTTTGAAATATCACATTTTCCACTTCCGTTTCATCAAATGGACTTATGGTGGTATTTCCATCGACAGAATATCTTCAAATCTAAATTTAAAATCATCATGCAGGGCAATCAAATGTTAAACGTATGTCTGAATATCTTTATCAAGGCATTCTACCTGCGACAAATTTGAAAACTGTGAAAATTCGCGCCGACCAATATTTTCCTTCATAAATTTTAATTTACCAAGAAAAGCTGAAATTACATTCTTTGTTTCTATTAAACTGAGGCTGTCCCCTTGTAATTTTAAGTTGAGGTCATTAAATTTTTTGAACAAATCTGTCAAATACGCGATGTCTGCTTTAAAATTGATCAAGTTTTTTTTTTAAATCAGAATCTTTACTTTCCAAAAACTCTAAAACTGAGTCAAAAAG